ACATAAAAAAAGAATGAAATTCTGATACATGCTACAACATGAGTGAACCTTGAAATCATGGTAAATGAAATAAGCCAGACACAGAAGGCCAAATATTATATAATTGCACTTATATGAGGTATCTGGAATAGCCAAATTCATAGAGATAGAGGGTAGAGTAGTGGTTGGCAGGGGCTCACAGTGGTGGAATGGGGAGTTCTTGTTTAATGGGTACAGAGGTCCAGTGTGAGATAATGAAAAAGTTCTAGACATAGATAGTAGTGTTGATTGTACAACAGTGTGAATGCACTTAATACCAATAAAGTAGTCACTTAAAAATGGCTAAAATGGGGGCGCCTGGGTGTCTCAGTGGGTTAAGCCTCTGCCTTCAGCTCAGGTCATGATCTCAGGGTCATGGGATCGAGCCCCACATCGAGTTCTCTGTTCAGTGGGGAGCTTCCCCCATCTCTCTGCCTGCCTGTCTGCCTACTGGTGATCTCTCTCTATCAAATAAATAAATAAAATCTTTAAAAAAAATCTTTAAAAAATGGCTAAAATAGTAAATTTTTTGGTTTTGTATTTTACCGTTAAAAAGGCAAAACTATAAAACTCGTAGAATATAACATAGCAGAAAATCTAAGTGATGTAGGTTTGCATGATCTTTTATTTTTATTTTTTTATTAGAATTATTTATTTAATTCCAGTATAATTAATGTACAGGGTTATACTAGTTTCAGGTGTACACTATAATGATTCAACAATTCTGTACATTACTCACTGCTCATCACATTAAATGTACTCTTTAATCTTTAATCCCCATCACCTATTTCCCCCACCCTTCCAACCACTTCCCCTTTGGTAACCATCAGTTTGTTCTTTATAGTTAGAAGCCTGTTTTTTTGTTTGTCTCTTTTTCCTTCATTTGTTTTGTTATTTAAATTCTGCATGTGAGTGAATCATCAGTGAACTTTTAGATATAATGCTAAATCATGATTCATGAAAATAAAAATTGGTACATTGGACTTTATTAAAACGTGAGCCTTCTTCTCTGTGAAAGACACTCATTGGAAAATGAAACAACAAGCTACAGACGTATAAACATGTTTCTGATAAATGACTGATATCCAAAGTATACAAGAACCGTTAAAATTCAACAATGAGAAAACAAAGAGACTGATTAAGAAATTAACAAAAGATATGAACATACAGAACATCATATCAAATAAGATATACTGATGGCTAATAAGATGGATATGAAAAGATGCTCAGCATCATATATCAGTAGGGAATTGCAAGTTAAAACAATGAGATACTGTTGCACACCTATTAGAATGGCCAAAATCCAGAACACTGACAATATCAAATGCTGGTGAGGATATGTAGTTAGTAGGACTCCTCATTCATTGCTGGTGGGAATGCAAAATGGGATAGCCACTTTGAGGAACAGTTTATCAGTTTTTTTCAAAGGTACGTATTCTTAGCATATGATCTGGTAATTGTGTTCCTTGGTATTTGCCCAAGGGAGTCGAAAACATGTCCACACAAAAACCTACACACAAATATTTATAGCATCTTTATTCATAATTGCCAAATCTTGGATGCAACCAAGATGTCCTTAAATGGGTGAATGGATAAACTGTGCTACATCTATACAACAGAATATTATTAAGTGGTCTCAAGAAGTGGGCCGTTGAGCCTTGAAAAGACATGGAGGAATCTTAAAAGTGTATTACTTAGTAAAAGAAGATGATCTGAAAAAGCTGTGTGATAACTGTATGAGTTTCTAGAAAGGCAGAACTGTGGAGAAAGTAGAAAGTATTAAGGAGAAAGTAGAAAGCTTATTGGTTGGTTGCCAGGGACATGAGGGGAATAGATGTAGCACAAGGGATTTTTAAGGCAAGGAAACTGTTGTGTACGACGCTGTTAGGATGGGCACATGTTATATAGATTTGTCAAAACCCTAGAATATACAACCCTAGAACCACAAAGTAGACTGTGGGCTTTGCTTGACAATGATATGCCAGTGATGGCTCATCAATCATAATAAATGTCCCATGTATAACAAATGTACAAATGGTGAGTGAGGTTCATAGAGGAAAGGGAATCTGTGAGAACTTTCTGTACTTTCCACTCAAATTTGCTGTGAACCTAACACTGATGTAAAAAGTTAATTTTAAAAAACATAGAATGTACAACACAAAGAATGAAACCTAACTGCAGACTTTCATAATAATAAATAATAATTATAATAATATGTATTTATTGGTTCATCAGGGGATGCAGCTGAACCACACTAATGCAAGATGTTAATGATAGGAGAAACTTTTTGTGAGCAAGGGGGTTAATGAGAACTCTGTACTTTTTGTTGTATTTTTCTGTAAACTGAAAACTGCTTTGTATTCTCTCTGGTATACCACATATACTAAAATTAGAATGAAAACTGCTTTAAAAATTAATGTTGAGGGGCACCTGGGTGGCTCAGTGGGTTAAAGCCTCTGCCTTCGGCTCAGGTCATGATCTCAGGGTCCTGGGATTGAGCCCCGCATCAGGCTCTCTGCTCAGCAGGGAGCCTACTTCCTCCTCTCTCTGCCTGCCTCTCTGCCTACTTGTGATCTCTGTCAAATAAATAAATAAAATCTTTACCAAAAAAATTAATGTTGATTAATTAAAAATATAAGTAAATGTTTTCAGTCAAAACAAAAGAAACAAAGACACTTTTTTGAAGACAAAAAATAAATGTGCCCATGCAGATAGCTGCTAAGTGCTGGAATGTAGTTCTTACCTGTGTCTACTGGATTCCAAAGACTTCTTTTTCCTGTGATATCCCTTGGATTCAACTTCAGTTGGAGTTAATCTTTTTTAGAATTTAATTAGCCAATGTATAGTACATCATTATGGAGTTAATCTTGATAGTGAAGGCTAATAAAGATTAATGTCTTTGAAACAGTCATTGTAGGTATAAGAGCAGCAAACATGAGTGAAGGTATAGTTTATTTCAGTCTTCTTTCTAGACCCTTCTCCCTTGCTTACTTCAACTCTCTAGGCTAGAAGTGAATCTAGAAATGATTTCCCAAGTCTCTTGCTGGTAGCAGGGTCCATGTGTCACAGTTCTGGCCAGGACAACATAAGCACACATGGAGAAATTTCAAGTAAAGCTTTTGCTTTTCTGATCCAGACATTAAGCCTTCTTCTGTTCCTTTCTTTTCCTTCCTAAAGTACACACTGAGATCCAGAGATGCAGCAGCTGTCTTGGGACCATGAGGTGGGAAGCTTAAAGAAAGCTGTATACTAAGCATAGCTGACTGGAAATGTGTGAGGAGCCTGCTGGTATCATTCAGGGTTGGATATTTAGTCCATAGGTTTCTTTAAAGCCACCATTGTAGGGTTTTGTTATTTACAGAGAACACGATCCTAATTGATACACATATACAAAGTGTAAATTTTTTTATATGAGAAATAAATTAAGCATACAGTTTCTCATGAGAATTTTAGGATGACTTTGGTAACACAGAATTAGGTATCTTAAAGATGTTAACTGATATTTGAGAGTGTATAATAGGTGGTTAGCCATAGATTGTCTTTGTACCACTTAAAACGTGGTCGTATCATCAGAGGTAGCGAATGTAGATTCTGGGACCATGAACCCTGCCTCGTGGGCTTTTTTGAAGGTGCATATGAGGGATATGGGTCAGGGTAGGATCTGGGGAAATGCCTTATGTGTCTGGAAATGCCTCTTCTTTCTGCTAGGGCTATAAATTTCCTAGGTACAGCTCTTATTCTCCTTTGCTGGACTTTGCATTTCAGATAGCATTCTTCTTGGCTTTGTCCAAGGTGGCTTATGGCCTGTGAGGTTCTGCAGCAATGTATGAAGTTTTTTACAAGGTGGCCTTGGTTAGGACTTAATAAACCTGAGATAATAATAAACATTATAATTATAGAATATATATTATATAATTATATAATTACATAATTATTGTTATATATAATTCTATATATAACATATAACCATTATTATATATTATTTATAATAAACCATTATGGAGATGTGAAATTGGAAAATTTTGAAAATCCTATTTATAGATATTTGATAGAGATTAACTTGCTATTTACGTTTTCTGTAAGTGCTGCCTAGAAATGTATGTGTATGTAAGTCAAAGGAACTGGCTAAATACTAAGATACTTGTTAATTTACTGTTCTCACAAGTTTTCGTATCATCTCGTAATTATTTTATTATAGAAATGGTTTGTAAATTCTCAAATAGTAAACAAAGTTTGTTTCCTTGCTACATCAGTTCTTCTGTAATATATGGCAATTGTTTATTCTCTTCTAAATATCTATTCATTTTTCTCCTTAAAAAAACATAATTTGCTGTTAGTGTCTTAGTTGGTAGGATTAGGAGAAGAGCCCTAGTTTGAAAAATACTTGAGTTTATATGGCCCCAACTCAATTAAATGGATTTAGTGTCCAATCTGGTTATTTGCAATTAATACTCCAATAAGGCACAAAATCTTTTAAAATCTATTAGAAAAGTCCAAGTTTTGTGACTTTTGATATATCCAGTATGAATTAATTTCAATAAAAACATTTTGATCCATTTTGTGTACCTGGTGTTAGGCATTATGTAAGTTATTTATTTTTATCTCTTGATATTAATGTGTTTAATATTAAGTAGTGAAAGAACATTTGGGCATTCGGTCTGGATGAAAAAGAGCAGGTGACAGGTTATAATTTATCAAATACAAATTTTAAAGATAGACTTATCCTTTCTCACTAGTGCAAAGCAAAATGTTTTACTAAGCTATCAAATTTTTTTGAGTTATTGTGTGTAGTCACAATGATAAAGACTGTCACTTTAAGTTAACAACATTAAAAATGTAATAGCAATTATACCATTAATAAGGCAAAACTATTTTTTGGAATAAAAAGTATTATTAGCAGAAACTATAATAAGGTGAGGAATATTTTGTTACACACCAAATGAAAAGCCCAAACATTACGTGATGATTTCTCATATTTTAATAATCAGTGGGGTGACAGAGGCATCACTGAATGTGTCATCAAGAATCATGTAAATACTAGATGAAATACACAATACTTTCATCTCAGCATAGTGCAGCAAGCTCTTTTCTGGTACAACCTAAATTACAACACTTATCACTTAAGTGTACATAGGACTGTCTCTTTTTTCGGGAATGTTTATCTAAGCCTGAGTTTTCTAATTCCGAAAGACGTTTGTCTTCAGCTTCATTTTGTCCACTAAGAACAGCTTTCTTCAATTCTTCCAAATTAAGATTTGAACTTTCCATATCAAGTCGTAGCTCTCTTATTGATGGCTGCCTGTCAGACAGTGCTGCCTTCAGCTCCTGTGACAAGTTAGGAATGTGTTCCACCGTTGTATTTAAGGTTTTCGTATGGATGATGGAGGATGGCAGGACTTCTAAAAGGGGAATGGGAAGAGAGAAAAATACTCTGATCAAGGAACATCGGGAAAACAATAAAATTTTGCATAGACATAAAAAAAATCATTGCCTTAATAGAATTAAACATCAGGACAGAATCAACAAATATCCTGATTAAACCGCTTAGAGTATTATAGTTGGGTGGCTTTAATTACTGTAGCATCACCAAGATTCTGCTTTATTCCACAGACCTTCTGTCATATTTATGTCCCCTTAATGCTTTCATTATGGCAGTTTTGACTCTTCCTGATTTCTGAAGACATCTTGGTCATTGAAAACACTCAGTTTGACCACAGATGAATTTTTCTTACTGGATAATTTTCTTCTGTTACTAATTTGAGTTCTTATAGTAATCCTATCTAATATTCCATGGTGGCAAATTACTGCTTCAGGGTAAAGTTTAAAAGGCAGAATCTTCAACTGCTCTGATCTAAATGTCGGGAGATAACCAGTCTTTGACATCCCTCACACATCTATTTAACAGTTCATTTTTCCCAGAGTATTTACTTCAAATAAAACAATAAGCTAATATTTTATCTTTCCTCCTAATGCTCTTTCTCATTCAAGTTCTAAACTGACAGATGAGAATTTATACCATTTTTAGTTGTCAGAAGTTTTTGCATTTTCTTTCAGTAAGATATCCTAAGTTTAATTCAGCCTCTTCAAAAAATTCCCTCTGCTCTAATTTAAATTTCCTATAGTTGGGGCCTTATTGAATGCACAGAAAAGCTAATAGTAACTTTCCATGTACTTAAAGCCAGTTAATTAATTAGGCAAAACATTTGTAGCTTCTTTTGTGTTTATTCAGAGGCTGTGTTTTTTGGCATTCTTTTTCATCTGTAGATGGACATATAAGGTGTTTTGACATCTTGGCTATTGTGAATAGTGTTGCAATGAATGTGGGAGTGGCAATATCTCAAGATCGTGATTTCGTTTATTTCAGATGCAGAAGTGGGATTGCTTGATCATATGGTAATTCTATTTTCTTTTTTTTTTTTGAGCAATCGCCATAGTGTTTCCTACAGTGCTGCACCATTTTGCTTTGCCTCCCCACCAACAGTATAGAAGGGTTCTAATTTTTCCACATCCTGAACAACACTTGGCTTTTTTTTAAGGCATGGAGAAGCAGGGAGAGAATCTCAAGCAGACTCCATGCCTAGCATGGAGGCTGATCTCACAACCCTGAGATCATGACCTGAGCCAAAGTCAAAAGTGGGTTACTTAACTGCCTTGAGCCACCCGGGTACCCGTGTCTCTCTTTTTTTTTTTTTTAAATAATAACTATCCTGACAGCTATGAATTGATACCATTGTGGTGTGTTTTTTTTCCCCCAAAGATTTTATTTATTTATTCGACAGAGAGAGAGAGAGATCACAAGTAGGCAGAGAGGCAGGCAGAGAGAAAGGCGGGGCGGGGGGGGTGGGAACAGGCTCTCCGCTGAGCAGAGATCCCCATGCAGGGCTCAATCCTAGGACCCTGAGATCATGACCCCAGCCGAAGACAGAGGCTTAACCACTGAGCCACCCAGGCGCCCCTACCATTGTGGTTTTGATTTCCATTTCCCTGATGATTAATGGCATAGAGCTTCTTTTCTTATACCTGTTGGCCATTGCAGGTCTTCTATGCAAAAATGTCTATTCAAGTCTTCAGCCCATTTTTTAACTGGGTTACTACCTTTTTTGCTATTGAGTTGTAGGAGTTCCTTATATATGTTGGAAATTAAACCCTTAGCAGATATAGGATATGCAAATGTTTTCTCCTATCCCAGAGCCTGCCTTTTCATTCTGATTATTTCCTCTGCTCTGCAGAAGTTTTTAGTTTGATGTAGTTCCACTTTTCTACTTTTGCTTTTGTTGCTTGTGTTGCACTTTTATTAAAAGTATTTTTTTAACTTAGCTTGAAACATTTTGCAATCAACAGCAGCTTTACCTTCTCAAGTCTAAATAAAAGATAATATCCCAATCGACTTGAAATCACACAAACATCTCTTAACCACTGTATTTTGGACTAAAATTTCACTACCAGAGACCTCCTTTAGTTAAAAATATCTGTCTCTTATTTTTTAAAAGGGGTTCAAATAAGTGTTATTTATGCACACATTGTAGGAGAAAATGGCTAGTTAACAATTTAATAATATGAAAACAAAACTAACAATAGAGGTTTTAAACTCATGAATTCCAAATTATTGACATATACTTCCAAAAAATCCTTAACTAGTAGTTTAAACATTTTTCTTGATCTTCACTTGCAGGCAATATCATGTTAGGTTATTTCCAATTAAATTATGTAGTGGGTAGCAATTAAGAGAGTTCTTTGAAAATACTTTGAAATCACAACATTCCTACAGAAATAGAAATCTGGCTAAATAGCTATATATAAATGTGCTCAGAAAATCATTTTTAAGCAACAATTTGGAAACAACCTAAATGTCCACTAAGAATGGTTAAAATCTGTTATGTCCACTAAAAATGGTTAAATATATATATGGTAGATTTATGATATAGAATACTATGAAGAAGTTTTAAATTCTATTTTTGGAGACTAACAATGTGAGAAACTGCTCACAATACGTTAAGTGAAAGTCATGAGATATACATACGTATCTCCAAAAAAAATTTTTTAAGGTTTTATTTATAAAGTAATCTCTGCAACCAAGTGGGGCTCAAACATACAACCCTGAGATCAAGAGTCACATGCTCTACCCACTGAGCAATCCAGGTGCCCCTACATTATCTCATTAACATTGCTTTCCAATTCCTCATTAAAACAGATTTTTTAAATTTTCTCACTAAATTCACATATTTTTTCAAAGCCTGTAATATCCATTTTTCTTATATTTATATATCTGTTTTAGTCTTTAATATGAGCATATTTTATTTATTCAGAAAAAGTGAATTAACAAAGGCAACACAATGCAATCTGGTTGTCCCAACTTTGAATCAGTAAATCCCTGAACTTTGTAGTACTCTTCTTATAATAATATATAAGAATTCTGTTAAGAACTTGCATTAAATAAATCAGTCTCTGACCAACAGTATAGAAAAGCAAAGTGAATAGTTTTATAATGTTTTAAATCCCATAAAAGAGAAGCAAATTATGGTTAGTGTGCACAATAATTTTATCTGAGAGTCACTTGTATACAGGATAGGCTATAAAATATAGTTGTGATTTATCATAAACTGAATATACGTTGTGAAATATAGAATACTAAGTTATTCATAATTGAGCTTGCATTTTCTGAATTTAATATGACCCATTACACTGCTTAGAATAGTTTGTGAAAGTTTGCATTGCTACTTAAACTTAACTTCCAGTTTATCTTTATAAATAGTTGATTACTAATGAAGTTGTTTTTGTTTTGTTTTTTAAACCATTTCAGATTTTAGCTGTCCTCAATTCTGGAGGCTTGCTTTTAAAGAAAATCTACTGCAGCTTCCAAATGCTTGAAGAAGCATCAATCAGGTTTTCAGCTGAAAACTTCCCTTGGGCAAACTTTCCTTGACTCTAAATCCTCTTCAGTTTCTCCTGTAGATTAGGCCCTTTTCTTTCTTCAATCCCTTACTGCACAAATGAACTTAAAGGTCCAGGGCAAAGAGGGTGGGAGGCTAGGCTCTCCCCTTTGGTGACCTTTACAAATAAAATTAAAAGGAAATTTTCGATGGTGTGGGCCACAGCGCAACCTTTTTGCAAAGGAGTAGAGTCATTAGTGAGCCCCTTCCTGTTTACCACTGCAGGAGCCTCTCAGTGGTCTCGAAGTTCTGCCCCATGCCCTCTGGCACTCAAACCAGTGCACACTTGACTGCCTCCAATCCTCAAGTTGAGATGTTCTGTCCAGTTGCTCCAGGCCCCCAGCATGCCCTCTCCCAGGCCCATGGACTTGACTCGGGTCCAACCTGAATGGATCCCACCTCGAACCCTTCTTTGGGCAACCAATATCCTCTGTGCCCCCCCCCCTCCCCAACCAGATCATCAGATTGCCAGGAGGTGAAGGGCTCCAAGTGCCCCTCAGGAGAGGCCTTGGTTGTTCCCGCTGCTTATTCTCCCTCTGGTGAGCTCCTCGGTGAGAACTTACTAGAAAAGCGATTACAAGGGTAAACTCCACAAACTTTTAGGCATCACAGCCTGAGTCAGGGCCAAGCGCGGGAAGCCCAAGCGCTCTGGAGCCAGGGAGTGCCGGTGCCTTTCTAAATGGTTGGTGGCCCGCCCTCAACCAGTAATTGGAAGTACGCAGGCGGTGGGGGGTGGGGGGACAGGGGCGCTCACCTGCAAGTGGTTCTGATGCCTGCCGAGGTTCCCGCACTTGCTGGTGAGCCCTTTCCCCCCAGGAGACAGAGCCGCAGATCCGGATACGTAGGCGGACTAACTCGCGGCTGCAAGCCTTAATTATCTTGTCATCGTTCTGGGCTGGGATCCCTCTGGGAAGCTGGCTCAGTAGTAAAAGCCAGACTTTTAGCAGGTGGGACAAGTGCAGGTGCGGCATGTTGGCCCAGATCGCTTCTGTTCTTGGCGTTGTTTCCTGTAGGACTGAAGCCCCGGTTGTCCACCAATCTCTGCCTGTGTTCCAATCCTGGACTTCAGGCTGCAGTCCTAACCACCTTTCACCAAGCTTTTATAGCCCTTGGGCGACCACTTAGACCCGAGTCAATTGCCCAAGCTCCACCCCTTTCTCCACCCACCTCCTTGGAATTCTCCCCCCCCCCCCCCTTTCCCCCCCCCTTATCTCCCTGCCTTTCACCTTTAACAACTTTCCTCCCTTTACCCATCTTTCTGTTCTTGGACCCTTTACAGTTGTATATATATATTTTTTCTTTTTTTCCCTTAAACTATTTTGTATACTTAGGTAAAGTTAGTCAATATTTGAAGTTTTCCTTTTTTATAAAGTTAGGCATTGCCCTTACACTAAATTATATCAAGAAAAATAAAATTGAAATCACCCATATTATATCAAATTCAGTTTTCCATCATGAACATTTGTTGCATAATCTAATCTAAATAAGTTAATTAGTATAGTGTCTGGTATATCAACCCATAAAGATATAATGAATGAATGGATAAATTAACAAGAGAGAGAACTGATGACTTTTATATAAATCCTGGTAAAAATGTTAAAATTCTCAATGCATCACTTTAAGCTTGTACAATATCTTAAGTTACAGTGCACTTTCTCTACTGATTTTCTCTACTATCTCCCAAACTATCTGGGAGATAGTTTGATTATAACCAGTTTTTTGAAAATCTTAATTTTAGGTTGTATTGTTTCTATATCCCTCGAGTTTGGAGAGAACACACACACACACACACACACACACAGAAACAACCCCCCCCCCCCCACAAAAGACCCCACAATTTTAGAAAGGATATTTTGGTAATACAGGCTACAGCACAGACAGACATCATGTTTATTTATTTATTTATTTTTTACTATATTCTGTGTTTACTGTATTTAGTGAGCTAATTTTTAACAGCTCCTGATTTAACAGTTTGAGATAATATGGTCATTGAACAATCTTTCTAGATGGACATTAACTTTTAAGTGTAAATAAGTCCATTTTTTCAATATTTTTTTGCTTGTGTTCATAATATATGCAGATTACCTCAGTTCTACCAGGTAAATTAGAGACATGTTGGAAGTTAGGGTAGCTTTGGTTAAAGTAATAACTGAACAATCACAAGTACAACATGGGCTAGAATAATTCTGATTTCTAGAATGCTGCTAATTGCAACAGTACCCAAATACTAAGCATTGCGTAATTAAAACAACAATAATAACAAAAGAAAAGAAAAACAAAACGAAAAAAAACAACCCTGACCAAAGCAATGAGAGGGTCAGAGGTAGTGCTTTTACACAGGTTTTTGCTAAGATAAGCAGTTTGGGAGAGGCTTCTTAAAACTGAGGTTTGAAGGGGTTTTTTTGTGGGTTTATAGTCATTGCAAAAAATAATCAATTTGCAAGGCTGCCCTCCAAAGTAATCGCTTGTGTAAAATATAAGTTTCTGGGAGGCAGTAGGTGGTGTGCACTAAGACTACAGTAGGAGACTGATAATCAACCTCCTGTGACCATCTCAAATGACCTCCAGGAGAAATCAAATACAGGAAGAACCAGAAAACCAGTGAAGCAGGGACATGCAAACAAAATTTTTAAACAATCAGATATGATAGGAACATATATTGAGATGACCTAAGGGTCTTTCACATGTCTGTGTGGAAATCAGAAAACCTTAATTATTACAACCATAGCAAATTATACCTTGTGACTTGTCTTTGTGCTTGTGACTTGGAGAACTGCTTCCAGGCACGCATACCCCTTTCTTTTGCATACATAATCCCCTGTCTCTAATAAGCTTCAGGGCAATTCTGCAGAGCAGTTGGAAAGACTGTATCCTTGGCTATAGTCCTCAGTAGAACAACAGACAAAAGCATTTAGCAGCCTGCTTTAATGTTGGTTTTCTTTCAGTCAACAAGGGGATTTTTACTCTACCCCTGTAGTCTTTTTTTTTTTTTTTTTTAAGATTGATTTATTTGACAGAGAGATCACAAGTAGGCAGAGAAGCAGGCAGAGAGTGGGGGAAGCAGACTCCCTGCCGAGCAGTGAGCCGGATGCGGGGCTAGATCCCAGGACCCTGAGATCACCACCTGAGCCGGCAGCAGAGGCCCAACCCACTGAGCCACCCAGGCGGCCCTGCCTACATAGTCTTATAGACTCCTCCTAGCCGTCCTATGAAATGGCCATTTTCCCATTTTATAGAGAGAAAAAGCAAGTTGTGAGTACTCAAATACTTGTTCAGCTGTTTAGCACATGTGCCAGATGTGGGCTTACCCTACTGTTAAGAGTAACAGACAAGTGCAGGGTTCATAGGCTTTGTAGGCACAACTAAAAGGCATTTCATGTTGTTAAAACAAACAACAACAGAACCCAAAAAAACCTTTTAAAAGATTTTATTTATTTGACAGAGATCACAAGCAGGCAGAGAGGCAGGCAGAGAGGCGGTGGGAAGCAGGCTCCCGACTGAACAGAGACCCTGATGTGGGGCTCGATCCCAGGACCCTGAGATCCTGACCTGAGCCAAAGGCAGAGGCTTAACCCACTGACTCAGGCACCCCACAAAGTAACCTTTTAAAAGAGAAAAACCAAATATATGCCATATACATGTCTGGTAAATGCTGGAGCAATGATTCCTACCCATGTTTACTGGGTTCCAAAGCTCCCTTTCTTTGCTTCTACTGTATCCAGCCCCAGTTGGAATTAATCTGCATGGTGAAGGTTAATAGATACGCCTTTAAACATGCCTTTAAAACAGTCATTTTAGGTACAAAGGGATAAGTGAATCTATAGATTGATTCTCTTAGGCCGTGCGTTGTAGAAATGATTTCCCAAGTTTCTTGCTGGTAGCAGAGTCCATGTGTCACAGTTCTGGCCAGGACAACATAAGCACATATGTGGAAGTTTCTGGCAAAGCCTCTGCTTTTCTGATCCAGGCACTAAACCTTCTTCTGTTCCTTTCTTTTCCTGCCTAAAGTACACACTGAGATTCAGAGGTGCAGCAGCTATCTTGGGACCATGAGGTGAAAAGCATAAGGAGGAAGACCTGTATATCAAGCACAGCTGAGTAGAGAGGTATGAGTGTCTGCTGGTTTCATTCAGATGCTAAGCAGTATTGATGGCTTACTCCCTAGGTTTGTTTAAAGCCCCCGTTACAGGGTTTTGTTTTGTTCTGTTTTGTTTTGTTATTTACGGAGAACACAATCCTAATTGATAAATATATGCATAAGTGGATTTTTTTTATATGAGAAACAAGCTTACATTCATTCCTCATGAGAGCTTTAGTCCTAATTCAGTAGCACTTGAGTTAGATATTTTAGATTGAAGTAATCATTTGATTGCTTTTACAGGATGGTTTACCACAAATTATCTTTGTACCTCTTAAAAACTAGTTATGTAAGAAGCAGTGAATGTACTTTCTGGGACCTGGAGATGTACTTCCAGGGATTTTGTGGAAGATGTGGTCAGGGAAGACGTGGCAAGGGCAGTTTCTGTGGAATTTCTTTTTGTGTCTGGTACTTTATCTTTGCTAGCTGTAAATTTCCTGGGAACTGCCCTTGTTCTTCTGGGTTAGATCTCCATTTCACAGAACTTGGTCGCAGTGGCCGACAACCTCTGAGGTTCTACAGTGCCTTACTGAATTCCCTTGCTCCTGGTCTCCTACCCACCACCCTCCCGCCTCTACTCCATCCACTTGGAGTCAGCCTGTGGTTCTAAGAGAAACTCACTTTTTTAAAGACAGGAGACTCTGCTCTTTTTATTTCACCACTAATGTCTTTCTAGCAGCTTCACATTTTGTAGCAAATTCTCACTGTTTTCACTGATGTGTCAATAGCAACAGTCCCACTCAGTTCCCAGGATAATTAGTGTTGCTTCAAATCTATTTTTCTTTGTATATTTCTTCCATCATTTCACTGGGATCTGGAGGAGAAGAGGTAAACCCTTGTATTTTTTTTTTAAGCATAGTGATCAGAAATGGGTGCTGACTGTATATCTCATCAACATCCTTGGGACCACTCTAGATGTTTGTGCTTTCACTTCAGGTTATCATGCTGTTTTATCAAGAAGACTGAAACAAAAAATGAAGGAAAATTAGGATCTTAAGAAAGTTCTCTTATTAGCAAACCTTTGGGAAATCTCTTGGCTAAGAGATTAGAAAAGATAAATAGCTTCAATATTTTCTTATTTCTCCTCAAATAACAATAGATGTGCTAATGGAATGTTCAAAAAGAATTGTGCCACTGGATGGTACTTTTTGTGAGCAGGGATCTTAGTTTTTTTCACTTATGATACATGCTTGTCATGTAATAGGCAGTCAAATAATAGGCCTCAATTACGTTATTGCTCACCATGAATGTTGATATATTGGGTCAAAAATTAAGGCTCAACATTATATGCTGCATTGACATCTGGTGTAACAGGGAGGGACTTAAACGGCCCAACCGTAAGTTCCCCACCCTATCTGCTTGCACTATGGAGTCCGGCTCTCCTAGCCAATCAGCTCTACTCAAGAGGACCAGGCCCAGTTCTGGCTCATCCCTCAGTAGTGGGTTTCATTTTCCTGCCACTTCATGGAATCAAAGAAGCCAGTCACATTCTCCCACAGGAACCACATTCTCTCACAGGAACCTCACCCTCTTGCTTCTGCAAGGCCTTCCTTATAGAGCCCCTAGTTGTTCAGTCTGTTCTGAGAGCAGCTCCCATCTAGCCAGGCCGTGTCCTACCCTGAGCTGCGAGTGTGCGTGATTAATAAACTGCTGCCAGTCTCGTGTGTCCCGTATTGGAGTCAGATGTCGTATGTGGCCGTCCCTATCATCTTGGGCAGAATTTCCTCCCTCACCAATGGGGTGAATAGAAGGCAGTTAAAATATTTGGGTCATAGACAAGGTGGCCTATTCATGACCAAGGACACCTGGTCAGCTTTATTTAACTCCTCTTGGCTAACTAACTGGGTCGACGACATGGCAAAGGCCTCCTGAGACAG